GATGTTTGGATGAGAAGATTTAAAATGTGAGATTTAGATTTGACCCTTTTCAGTGTTTATAACCTTTATGAACAATGTTTTTTTAAAACAAGGAAATATAATAGGGAAGGAGAGGGAATCTAATCTAGGGCCTAGAAATATAAGAGGGGAGGAGGAAATCGAACCTAGAACCTAAAAGCTTGAAGAACTTTTAAAATTATAGATTTGAAAGAACATTTATGTCTCCGTTATTTGACATCTCGTAATTGTTTTACAATAACAAAAGTTTATAAATAGATTTCACCAACATAAGAAATTAATATTTCTAAAGTCTTATTATGAAAATTTACAAATTGCTGCAAATGGAAATCCTTAATTTTTACTTTTTCCATCCAAACTGTTTAATCTTTACTCGAATTTCAATTTCACGTATCCATATTTTTACCATTTGGTTTTTTTCTTTGTATTGTGTAAATATATGCGCATGGTTTTGTTCCACAGCCTCATGGTTTAAGCTGGTACCTTAAATAATAAACCCCCACACAAAAAAAAAGGTAATATATTGCAGGCAGATGTGGATTATATGCCAGTTTTTCAGGACATTGTTTACAAAATGATATATGCATGAAAAGAAAAGAAAATATTTACAATGTTGAATTATTATGCAGGGTGGGGAACAGATGAGAATGCGATCATATCCATATTGACCCATAGGAATGCGAGGCAACGATGTTTGATACGACAAACTTATGCTGAGAAATATGGAGAGGATTTTTTCAAACCTCTACAAGACGAACTTTCCGGTGACTTTTTGGTGAGTTCCTAGTTCTCCCGGCTTCATCATCAATTCATTAAGTAGGATCGGTTTTGAGATTTTGAGCGTCCTGTCTGAAACTTAAATTGGAACCCTCACTTAATCTAATAAGAAAATACTCAAAAAATCATTTGCCGTAACTTAATGTCAAACAATTTTTTTTTAAATAACTAAAATTCATCATCAATTAGCATAAAATGTCAATCACAAATCAAATTCAGAACAATTTTAATATCTTCATTTGAGAAAGTTAAATATTAGTATATATACGGTACAAAAAACGAAGTAGTATATTATATATGTACTTAATTTTATATATATATGTATATATATAATTAAAGTAGCTAATTGCATGGCTGTCTACGTATACATGTATGCATGCAGAGGGCAGTGCTTCTATGGACACCACATCCAGCTGAACGTGATGCATTGCTAGCTAACGAAGTTACCACCAAGAAACATTCAGCTGCCCATAATCATTTGGTTATAATGGAAATAGCTTGTACAAGAACTTCGCGAGAGCTTTTCCAGGTGAGAGAAGATTATCATGCTCGCTACAAGAGATCTCTCGAAGAAGATATTGCTTACCACACAACTGGAGATTTTCGCAAGGTACGCAAGGGCAAAACAATGAATTTTCATAAGAATGAGCTATATAATATAATATATTTATATATTTCGTTTAAAGAGCTGCTCGGATTAATTAGTGCTCTACAATTTCTATTTCCTAGACATCAATCCATTAATTTTGAAATTTATGTATAAAACCCAAATTCAAACTAAAATGCCCCGCAAGATATCAAAGGTCATAGAACTCCTACATGTTTACATTGTTTACCACTAGACTTTAGATAAGTCAACCTGACGTTTTTCAAGCATGTCATTAATTAATACTTCCTTATTTATACGTAACACTGGATCTTGTCAAATAATCCGACATCGTAAGGTGATTATGTGCTTACATTGCAGACATGGACTAGAAATTCAGAAAAGAATCAATCTAATTAATATATAGTGTAGAACTTGATCTAATTTTATTGTACTTGCCAACTTTTTTCTAGGTTTGTTAAATTTAAAGTTACATTGATTTATATAAAAAAGAAAAAGAAAAAAATGTTTAAATTCATATTCTATTCTAGATTTTTTATTCTAGATGTATTGTTAATTTTTGTCCTTGCGTGGCAAGCTATTGGTACCTCTTGTGAGTACTTACAGGTACGAGGGAGCTGAGGTTGATATGACGGTAGCGAATTCAGAGGCTAAAATACTTCAAGAAAAAATATCTGAAAAGGATTATAATCATGATGAGCTCATCAGAATTTTAACTACCAGGAGCAAAGCACAACTGAATGCAATATTCAAAGTCTATAACGACCAATTTGGCCATCCTATCAACAAGGTTCTACTAGCTCGCTATTTAATAATATTTGCAAAATTATATGCACCCGCAGTTTTTATTCGTACTCTAAAATAGTCATTATATACTCGTTATTTATTTATTATTAAAAAATAGTGCATGATGACAATTTTAGACTGCCAATAGTCATCATACTATTGACATATATGTTTAACTTAAGAAATCTCAATATATATATATATATATATATAGACAATCCATTAATTAATTAATGGTGATTGTATGCGCACACATGTTTTTTTTTATATAAACGCTATTTGGGGAGGAAAATTTGAATACAAAAACTCATGTGCATGAATAACTGCTCTTAATTAATGGAGCTATAAGCCGGTTGCGCATACACACATATGTGTCCATTGATGGCTATAGCAGTTAATGTTGAGGAAAGAAGAGAAGATATAAAGGGAGAGTGGTAGGAGAAAAAAACGTACATGGTATGGAAGCAATATATTAATTTATCTTTTGCTTTTTAAATGATTGAAGGACCTGAAGAAAAAGCCGAAGGATGAATACCTTGGGTTAGTGAGAGCCACCATAAAATGCTTGACATGCCCGGAAAAGTATTATGAGAAAGCTCTCCGGCTATCGATGAAGGGCCTCGGAACGACGGAGGAGACTCTGACCAGAGTTGTAGTAACTCGGGCGGAGGTTGACATGAAGAGTATAATGGAACAGTATCAACTCAAGAATAGTGTCCCTTTGGTTGAGGATATAAAGGGTGATACTTCTGGGGACTACTTGGCCACGTTGCTTGCCTTGATTGGTCAATGATCATCATGATGCATGAGAATGAAAATTATACTAATAATAATCATAATAATATATGTTGCAAAACAAATTGTTAATTTTCTAATAATAAAAATAAATCTTCTCTCTTTTTCATTTTTTATCAAGCTTGTCTTATAATCCAAACTAGCATTCGGTCTAGTTAGGGGTGAGCATCGGTTCGAAACCAATGGTTTTTTACCAATCCAATCCAATCCAATCTTCTATTGGATTACAAATTTTACAATCCAATCCAATGTGTTTGGATGTCAGGATCCAATCCAATCCGATCCAATGTACATTGGATTGGATTGGATTGGATGATCGGTTTGTATGAAAAAATAATTATGATAACAAAAACTTCATAATCTTTCATAACATTTAATTCAAAATTCAATATGATGAAAGATATGACATTAATATATTAATTTTTAATATAAATTAATATAATATTATATTTAATATGTTAACGTTTTGATTTTTTCGAAAGTAAGATTAATATATTAGTATATTAGTGAGAAACAAGATGAAATGTAAATATTATACAATATGAAAGTATATTAATGTGTATATTGGATTGGTTCGGTTTAGGTTGGATTTTCAATTCTTGATCCGCCATCCGATCCAATCCAATTGGATTTCTATTTTTCTAATCCAATCCAATCCATCAATGTTATCGAAACCAATGAAAATTGGATTGGATTGGATTGGATTGGTCGGTTTTAGTGGATTGGTTTGGATCCTGCACAGCCCTAGGTCTAGTGATCTTTGTCTCCACTTGGTTGGAAGAGATTTCAAGTTCGACTCACATGAATAATATTTTGTCTTGTGTGGTTGTAGCTTCATTGTAGATATACTGACTTGTGAACTATGAATTTTTTTATGGGTGGGCTAGCTAAAAATTTAAGGGAATGTTATGTAGCAGAAAAAAAAAAAAAAAAAAGAACAAAAAAATAAACTTGTGGAAGGAAGCAAACAATCAAAACTGAGCTTACACATTTATTATATACACGTGGATGTCATTAAAATAATAAGCGTTATTGATTTCAATGGTCCCCCAACTATTGCTCCAGTTTCATTTTGGTCCACCAACTAAATTTTTCATTTCAATGGTACTTCAACTCTTCATTTGGAGTCCTACCGTCAAAGTCTGTCAATTTTGCCATTAAATTTAGGGGCGAAATCGTCTTTTTAGGGCAGTACCCTCAAAACCAAACGAATTCCATATTAGTCTTCGTCTTCTTCTCCTTTTAAGGAAGTACCCTAAAAAACAAAACCAAACAATCTTAGACTGATGGGTTGTACATGCTAACTAGATTTCAACTATCCCACTTGAGAGAAGACATGTTTAATGTCCAGATGGTTCAAAAATATTCCCAATAGCAGCGACGGCCTCAATTACTTGGGTGTTGAAATCTAGCAGACCATACAAGATCTGATTCAATAACAGAACCAATTCTACATGAACTTCACTCGAAAGCAGAGGGGGGGGTAAGAGAGAGAGAGGGGAAGGAGACACAGAGAAAGGATGTTGGGGTGGGCTACGACAGGTTGGGGTTGGTGGCTGTCGAATCGTCAAAGAGAGAAAAAGAGGGAGAGGTTGGAATACCCTGAAAAGACAGTTTTGCCCTTCAATTTCACCGAAAGACAGACTTTGACTGTAAGACGATTTTGATACCAAATTAAGAGTTGAAGGAACATTAAAATGAAAATTTTAGTTGGTGGACCAAAATGATATTGGAGCAATAGTTGAGGGGCCATTGAAATCAATAACCCAAATAAATAATAAAAAAAGAAATTAGAAAAGCCTTCAAACAGCACATATGGTGGGCCATAAAGTTTTTTTCTTCAAAAACTCGCCAAAGGAAACAGACTGGTTGTTGTTGGCCAATATAGATATAGGTTTTTCCTTCAGAAGCTGGTGGGCTGTATTGTAAAAGTATCTTGTACATATCCTATCCTTTGTCCAAAAGGAAAAAAAAAACTTATAATTAATTATTGGATTTTATTTGTAAAAATTAAATGAGAAAACAAAGAAAATAGTTGGATAAAAGCCAGAGGAATTCTGAATAACAGGAAGATGAAGCACTTTATTATTATGTTTAACAGGGCACAAATTGTATTGTTCCTCTATATAAATTTACAAGGGAAAGAGGAGGACCAACTTGATACTAAATTTCACAAGACAGAGTTTCTACCCTTTTCTCGAATGCGACTCCTTTCCCCCAAGCGTCTGAATTATAGCTTCCAAGAGTTTGATTTCCTTATCACGCTTAGCTATTTCTTCTTGCTTTGCCCGCAACTCTTCCATGTGCAGCTCAAATACCTCTGCAACAAATAATAAAATTATATCATATGACTTTCATCACACATACCACACTTCTGGTTCCAATTGTTAGAAAACCACTAGCCCGAAAAGCTTAAGCTATTAGAGAATGAGCCAACAATGTATATCACAATTACACCCTCTCTCACATGCACGCTCATCCTGCAAGTGGAGAGGCAGACCAATAGGAGAAGAGAGACAAATATATATATATATATATATATAGGTGTAGCCCCAGCGTACACCCTGCAACCCAACAAAGAAGTGTGCAAGTGGAGAGGCAGACCAATAGGAGAAGAGAGACAAATATATATATATATATATATATAGGTGTAGCCCCAGCGTACACCCTGCAAACCAACAAAGAAGTGTGCAAGTGGAGAGGCAGACCAATAGGAGATGAGAGACAAATATATATAGGTGTAGCCCCAGCGTACACCCTGCAAACCAACAAAGAAGTGGGAAACGAGAGTTGAACTCAGGACCACTTACAAAGAAAGGCTCTAATACCATGTTAGACAACCACTAGCCCAAAAAGCTTAGGCTATCAGAGAATAGGCCAACATTGTTTATCAAGCTTACACCAATGTATTTAAATTTAAAATTATAGATGCAAACCTATCTCTACCAATAATAATCAGATTATCGCAATACCTCCAGAAAACAAGTTTTTCTTTCTATATGCATTCAGCAAAGACAATGCTGATACTGATAACTGGTGGAATGGTGTCCAATTGTTCAGAAATTCCAGTCTTTCAAAATTGATTTCCGTATCATTAATGCTTTAGTTGGGTAACAGTAAAAGCTTCACGCCAAAAGTATTCTTAACTTAACTTCAAAGTCAAACAGTCGTCAGCCAAATGATATGGAACTCAATGAAACAGCTACTATATTCTACAGCACCACCAAAATAATTTTGTTGATACGAAGGACCCCAAAGAAAAAAAAAATCAGCATTATAAAGGAAACGTAAATTCATGAATGTTTTCATTCATGAAGCCATTAACACAACCAAAGGGCAGAAAGAAGACCTAAATTTCTCCATCCTTAAAAATAGAACCCCAAAAGATGTAGTTCAACAAACTAGATGTTTCTTAACATTTCAACAACAAAAAAAGGAAAAACAAAAATTGTGTGCAAAATTGGAACTATTTGGGGAAAATCAAATTGGAGCTTGGAGAAACCTTTATTAGTAAATAATTTGAGCACTCCACTTGAATCAATTTTAGGAAGATGTAAGATACTCAAGCCTTTTTCCCTGATACTGCTCATGAGAAAACAAATATGAAGGGTTATTAACTCTGCTAGAGATATAAAGGGAGACATATCTCACCCAATGTGCTCAAAAGTTTATGATAACATTAAGCCTAAATACATAATGCACAAAAACGTAAAGCTTATATGTACTTTGGAAACAATTTTTTGCCCAATGGGGGTTCCTAATTCTAGTTGAAATTTGTTTACTCATATATTGGAACTGTCCTATCAAATCCAGAGAAGACTTGGATTAGAGAATTAAACAAATATAAAAGGATAAATACACCACCGAACTGGAACTTTGGCCCATATCTCAATATCATCCCTGACTTTCAATTTGGCTCACATTGTCCCCGTGAACTTCAGTTCTTGTACTGAAATGGCCTTTGTGGTGAAGTCTGTTATATTTTTCATGATTTTTCATGAAAAATGTACTTTGCCAAGTACATGAGCACAGTTTCAGAGGTACAGTCGTCACTTTCTTTTTTCTATAGGTAACAAGAATTTTATTGGAGGACAAAAGAAATATAAAAGAAGATGTGTTTGGACGTGTACAGGATGCAAAATTAAAAAGACAATTATAGTGACTTCCTTTAAGTTTGTTCCTTCTTGTATTTCAGTTTCCAATTTGGATTTGGCTTCCTTTTTCAGTTGCAACTTGAGAATTTTAGAGCCTATAAATTGGCTTGTAGAGCATTAATCGCAATACATCGACTTAGAGAGAATTTAAAGTAACTCTTTGAGAGAGTTTAGTGTTTAGGGAGTTGTGAGGTTGTGTATTGGGATTCTCTATTGCAAATAGGGTTGAGATGAATGATTTTTGAGAGTTTGGGAAAGACTATTTCCTAATCTTCTTCTTTTGAAGGTGGATCATTGTCAATGAGTGTAGCCCAATCTGACTGAGAACCATGTATATCCTGTATTTCTATGGTTCTGCTTGCTACTTTTAGCGTTTTCTTTGTGATTGTGTGTGTATGTCACTGTGATCTTTGGGCTAGGGAATTTGGTAGTTGGACCATAACTTCCTAGCAACTGGTATTAGTTAGAGGAAGGTTGTAGGAGTGAGCCAAGGCAAAGGTCTTTCAGAGCCTTAAGGAAACTTGTACATAAATGTATGAGCCGGAAAGATTGGATTAAGCTTGACAAGGAATCCTAGGAGATAATCAACTGACGTTCCCATCTCAAACAAGGTTGGTGGGACTCATATGTCACAAGACTCCAAAAGAGACTATTTTCTGCTGTTGGTTCCATGTTATACAAAAATGTCGGACCCAAACAGCTCCCCTTTTCAATGCTTCAAAAAACCACAAAAGTAGGCTGAAGCATCACCTTCAATTGTTTGGAATACTATTTTCTTATGGGTACAGCTTGGAACTAATTTGGAAGTATCAATCTCCTTTTAAGAGCCTAAGTAACTGCAGATGTGCCACTTATTTATCTCTAGTCCTAATTTAAGGCCATTCAACAAAAATCCTTGCCATTACAAATTTAGTGGCCCATGGTTCTTCAGTTAGTAAGGAGGACATAACAAGCTATGAAGATATTAATCTGTCCAGGTTTCGCTAGATGTGGAAGTCAATATTGGTGTTGGTGATTACTGCTAACACAGAACCATTTACTAAAAAATAGTATCAGACTTCTCATACTCAAGGAACCTACAATTTGTAAGCCTACAAATACTCACAGCCCAAATAAAAGATAAAAGGGAGATATTTGGATTGCACATACTTGAGGTGTTCTCGAGCTCTTTTGTAACTTCCTGTGCATGTAATTCAGCAGCCTTTTCTGCTGCCTCAGCCTGTCGTTTTTCTGAACGAACACGAGCAGCAGCTGTAATGGCAGCATCAAGTTCTCTCTCCAAAGTTTCTACTCTTTGCTCAAGAACCTAGACAGAAAGAAAGCTTTTAAACATAAAACACACGAATTCGTAGAATGAAGTATGGAATCGGTCTCACTTCTATTGGTACATAAGAATGCTATCAATAGACTGCACAGCACTGAAATATAATATTCAATGGTACGCAAGAAAATAAAATGCTATTTCAGCTAGATCGTTTAGCTGAATCTCACAGCCATAGCATCAAGCCTGATTTTAATATGTTGTTGGTAAATGAACATCAAGGCTTCACGACAGGAATTGCTAATAAAACATAAAAGTAGTTCCACATTCATCAAACATTTGTTAAATACACATCTGCAATCAGCTCTTTCCAAAATGGCCACAATACTGAAGAACTCAAAATGCATGCAGGCAAAATTACTTTACAAAATTAGATATTTCTAGAAATAACATCTTTTAGTATTTAACTTTTTGGTGGTAGCCGGAGCCTAAAAGGTCTAAAACAAAAAGAACTAACAAGCATCTCTAAGATGGCTGACCACAATAAGGTTCTCAACCTAAAAAAGAATCAACAGAAGAACGGCGGAGGGAAACAAGGGGAAGACCACATATAAAATAGAACCCAGCTCAGCCAAGCAATCGGCCACCATATTCCTCTCTAACAAACATGACACTACACGCCCAGTCCCTAACCAAGCAGGCTTGACAAGCAAGGATAATGGTTGCTTGCAGGTGGAAATTGTCAACAGGATTGTTAATAAGATCCACAGAAGAGGGTATTTTACTTCATTCGTTACAAAATTCAAATTCATGTGCATGATCCCTCCAAATGTGGGCGATTAAAAGAAAACTTCTTCCTTAGGCCAGAAACTTAGAAAAAACTAGTTCTGGATAACTTGGCTACTCAAAACTAGCATTATCATCTGTTCTATAACAATAGTATACAAAGAGTATAAAGTAAGGTTAACGCCCAGATCTTAAATTCAGGGCTTCACCCTTCTTCAACATAAATTGATCAAGACTATCAAAACGCCAGATGCTTAAACTTAAAATTTATAAAAATAATTTTTTTTTAAAGGGAAAATCATTGTCCAGCCCAGAGTGAGACCCAAAATTATAAGAGAAGAAAAAAAAAATTATACAAGTAAGAAAGTAAATATTCTCAACAAGATTTGCACAACAAAATTCACCTGATTGCATACAAAAATGAAAACCCAGATTGTAAAATTAATTTAAAATATACAGATTTATAAAGAGTTGAATAAAGGAAAAAACCTTGATGGTTCGTGCTTGTTCGGAACAAAGCGAGGCTTTGGCAAAGGTTTCTTCGTCAACAAAGACAGCCTTTTTGAGGAGTAGCTTCTGGAGTGACTCCAAATTAAAAGACATTTCTGTCAGATTGCTTATGGCTCCGTTCCATCTTTCGCTTCCTTTCCCCTTGTCCTCCATTTTCTCTCACTGCCTTTGTTTGAAGATGATCACTATGCTTTTGATTCAGGTTGGTCTTGTGGACAAATTGGAAGAAGCTCATAAGTTGTGTCAAACAAAACTCGCCAACAAGTTGATGGTGCCGTGCATCCTATGGCTGAAAATGAACGAATGAATGACCTGGTAACTAGTTTTCCCCTCAACTTTGGAGCTGGGTTTAGGGGTGAAAGTTGATTGGAAATTCCGATTTCGACTACAATCTGAATATTTTTCACTTTGGCGAGTCTATATCAATTCCTACATCCAAAAGTTATAAATTCCGAAATTCCGAGTACAAAAACAGGAATTGGAATGTATCCAATGATATGTTTACCAATCATGAATTGGAATTCTTATCGGGAATTAAATTCTATATATGAAGAATTCGTACTTTTACTTTACATCAAAGAATTGAAAAGTAAGTAGGGTTCACACAAAATTAGGAATTTGTTGAAATTCAATTTTTGAGTGGAATGTGGTACCATTAAGAATTCATATTTTTTATCCATTATATCCTCGCACAATTTTCAAAATTCCAAATTTGTCATTTGCTTTAACCCAACAACAATGATATGTTAGTAATTAGTACTATTTTTACTCTAATTCCATATGGTTTAATAAACAACTTCAATAGGAATCCGGAATCTAGCTCTTCTCAATCCATATGATTTAGTAAACAACTTCAATAGAAATTCGGAATCTAATTCTCCTAAATTCAATTCCTCCTAATCCAATTACGGATTAGTAAACATGCCATAAGATTCTAAAATTTCCAAATTTTGAAATATATTCGAGTTTTAAAAGTAGGTAATTATATATAATAGCTTTTTGAGCTTTGCCACAAGATTTTTTCAGTTTTGAATCAATTTCAGCCTTTAAAATCATTGGGCATTTTAAAATTTTCAACCAACTATTTTTCAAATCGGAATGAATGTTAAAATACCTACTTTTTTAATTGAATTAGAGTCTCCTCATTATGATCCCATCCATCTGAAAATCAACCATAATAAGGTGGCTATGGCTGTCTAGGTTTGATGGGTTTTTAATTTTTTAAATTTATTTAGAGCTTTTTTGTCAAATATTTTTATTTAGAGTGTTTTTTACAATGTAGTTAAAGGTTTTTTTTTTTTGTTTGGATTAAGGAAATAACTTCTTTTTTTTTGTCTGAACCACGAGGTGGTCCTAGATGGGCCTCAACTATGAATGGCACCTTTAAGCCTTAACCACAACCCAAACTAATCCCCGCTCACACCGGTTCGGCCCGTAAGGGGTAAAATGTTAGCCAAAGTGATGACTCCATACGAGAGCAATAATCGAACCCATGACATCTCTTAAGGAATGAGAGTGCCGAACCACTCACACCAACCACCTTGGTTCAATGAAATAACTTTCATTCAACAATACATTGTGTTAAATGTATTAAAGACCCTCAAAGTTTAGCGAATAAGAATGTTGTTTTTTGTCATAAGATAGTAGTAAATCAGTATAAAAAAAAACCTCAAGTATAAATACATCAGCAAATGTTACAAAAAGTCATTTTCACAAATTAGACAAACCAGTCCTGTCACCGGTTTGTCCAATTTTGGAGGAGCTGGACTATTTTAATATTTTGCCTTCCTATTTGTCCTTTTATGGTAAAACCCCTAAATACATTTCCTCATCTGGCTTTTTTTTTTTCTGGCCATGCTTCTGGAGCCAAACTCCTCTTAAAGAATCCATCATCCAAAATCACTTCTTTTTCTTTTTTCCTTTTAATGGACAGTCACAACTTCATAGAATGGCATTCAAAACTAATGGAATAACAAATTGCCGATCATAATTTGTAAATGCAGCCCACTTTATCAATTTTACAGCAAACATGAAATGGTAAAACTTTGAACTCAATATTCTGTTTCCAACACGCCATCAATAAGCCCAAATTCCATTGCCTGCAATAGAAAGCAACAGAAAGCTCACGGTTAATACACCAAGCTGAGTAGATATGTAGTGGAGTATTAGATGCTAGAAAAGTAGAGTTTAATTTGGTTAAAAGCTGTTTATGATAATTCTGTAATTGCTCTTTGTCATAATAGATTATATTATGCGCCGAGTACACTGAGCATGAAATTTTCTTACACAACCTTTTATAAACATACCGATTTAATTGACCACTGAAATTTCAGCATGGAAAACAACTTACAAAAACATTAGATAAGTTACCAGACTTTCCTTCTGTTTTCTCTCTTCTCTGATATAATTTCTTGTTCCCCCTTTTCCTTCCCTTCCAATTCGAATGAAGCTCGGAAAAGTTGGGAGAGGGGAACCAAACATTTCTCCTCATATTTAACAATTTATGTCATTACCAATTTACAAAACTCTTTAATTAAAGACATGAGATAGCAATATTACCTCAGAAACGGATAAGAAACGATCCCTCTCAGTGTACTGTTGCACTTTCTCTAGAGATTGGCCAGTAAAAGCAACGTACATATTGTCGACTTTCTGCATCAAATACATCTAAAAGGCTTAATATGAAGCAGACAACTCTGCACTCAAATTTGACTAAATAAAGCACAGAGAAATAGCTGCTATGGAAACTGAGGACATGTTGAGTACAGTATTGAAAAGCAATAATCACGGATGCATAGCCTTTCAAGCATTAAAAGGGGATGTCCAGTGCATGAGGCTCACACCAATGCACGGTCTGACTGCGTACATAATTTTTCGAAAGCCCCAAGAATGATTTTGAGCTTCCAACCTATTTCTTTCCTATGTGACTTTTTGGACCAGTAAGCATAGGAAAAATAGCTTAGCAAGAATAGAGACACCCCTTCATCGTAGGTGCTTCTGCTGACAATATATCCATGCTTCTTCAAAATGGTGATCATGGCATTATTATCGAAAATTATTTGAATAAATATCGACCACCAAATGCCCTGGATAACCAAAGGTTTGTCTGTCACTAAATGAAGACAAACTAATGGCACACTGAATTTGTTTCTAACAACCCAGCATTGAACAGGGATGAACCTAATTTTCATTTTCCCTAATAGCCCTGTGAGGCAACAGTTCTCAGCATCCACATCCAAATTGTAAAATTCTAAAAGATTCCAATTTTTTCAAATACTAACCAAAAAGAGATGCCCTGAATAACCAAGGTTTGTAACAGGGCTGAACCTAAATTTCAATTACCCTAATAGCCCTGTAAGGCAGCAGTTCTCAACACTCAAATTCAACTTGAAGAAGTCTACAACATTTCAATTTTGAATCAATTAGTAAAAGTTCATGCAGAACTGGTTCATTCTGCTTCAGCTTGATTGAAGTCAATTAGGCTGAAAAATAAATATATAAGAGTTAAGAAATTGTCTGAAGAATGAAACTAAGAAGGCAGAAAACACTGACATGGCGAGTTTGAACTGCTTCATTCACTTGGCGCCTCACATCTTCTACATGACCCTACAATCAGCAAATGCAAAATCAAATTATGGATTTTAAACAAAACAGATTGTGTAATATATAAGAAATCCTTTTTTATTTTAGGCACAAAGAATTCATGAATTTGAAACAAATCGATAACATAAGGTCTCAGACAACCATTTCAATTTGTTGACTGTACATGCCAAACTCAACTACAAATATGTGAAGCTAATGTATTACTATACCATTTCATGCAATTATGGTTACAGGATAAAAGGGGACAACAAACAAAAATTGGTATTTTAAATAATACATTTATATCTTCTTCCCACTTGTAAATAATACATTTATATTTTAATACAAAAATTGGTAATAGATTAAGAGATCTTCTCACTCATAACTCTCCTTTTTTTTTTTTGGTGTTAAAAAAAACACTCCAGGGGAGAGGGTGGTATCCACCAAGGAGCTGTGAAAGGGTGCCCCCCCACGTGAGCCAGACGAAAGGGCCAGGTCAAGCTGGATCCCCGGGCCACCCTCATGATGTCACGCACGTACACGCTTTCATCTCCAGGGAATTGGCCTGCCCACCCCAACCTGTTGGTGGGAATCGAACTCAAAACCTCTTGGTGAGCAGCTCGACCCCAATTCCACCCCAACGTTTGATGGTTGGTGCTCATAACCCTCCTTGAGTATGAAATAATAGTACTTAACCACTCTTGGTAGAACCAATAAAGAGACTAGAGAATCTGGCATTTCTGTCATCATGCAAGGCATACTGAAGCTACCAATAAAGTGATTTATATCCTCTCAAGCATATGCAAGGCTTCAAAAGAACATTTAGGAATTAGGCATTAGTACAAGAATTAATAAATATTGTGCTTTGAGCTGTTCTTTAATAGTATTAATCAGAATAAAGAACATAAGAAAAAAAATGGAAACTATCTTATAATATGAAATTTTTTCCCACTACTTCTATTGTGAAACAAAATTACAATCATTTTGTTTCTGGTAGCATAAAACAAAAAATAATTATACTGAACTTTCAGATCTTCGCACCTTGCTAAATTAGTGGAATCATATGTGAACAATATAACTAAGTTATTTCCATGTCAAGCATGCATGAAAATCGGTTAGAAAAGCCCTCTAATTGCTCGTTGAGATTTGAGATTTTATATATGCACACCAAATTTTTATTATGTATAATCCTAATTATACTACGAACTAATCTTAATATGGTACAAAAACTGATAACAGCATAAAAGAGGAAGGGATTTAGTGTTACCTACGACAACAGAACATCAAACACCAATTCACATTTACTTCTTGTAATGTAGCCAATATAAACCATTTACTTTAATTTGGAAATTTTTGCATTATACAGAAACATTTGTCACAACCACTATAAATCCATCCAAGTTCGAGAAGAAAAAGATAATGGTTAATTCGAAGCTTCCTATCCTCTTATACTAAATTGGGTAAGATATACCAAGAGGGGATTCATACCCCACATCCACTCTGTGGTTGGTGTATCATGATTCGCGCATTTGGCATCGCATAGCGCATTCCCTTTTCTCCACCAGCAAGAAGAAGTGCTCCTTGGCTTGCCGCTACTCCAAAACACACTGTTCCCACCTTAGGTTTGATCTGATAAAGTATGGAACCATTTAGTCCAAACAGAAAATAATTTTTAAAATACAAAATCATTTCTTCATTGGTGCAGTCAGGTTGTGTTTATAATCTTCTGTATGGTTTAGAAAACCTAGCAGATACCCTTTAAGCTGTGAACTATTGGACTGAACTACCTCTATATTTCACTGGTTGCTTCATTTACCAGTGAGAATATAATGGTGGTTCAATCTATTCCCAGATTAAAAGGTCTACATTAGCTAGGTTTTCTAAACACTACAGAAGAATATAACCATAGCTTGAGCTTGGAAGGTGTCGAGGATGAAAAGCTAGAAGAGAGTCATGGGGCTTGCATAAGACCGTTGGGTGAGTCTTGTATAGTGCTTATTCTCATAGTGGATTTACTTGTGCACTAGGTCTTGTGGTTTTTCCCTTTTGGGGTCTCCATGTAAAATCTTGGTTTTGAAAGATTGGTGATTTATTCACCAAACCACAATATCACAGTTCGACAATTTCATAATGTCAACAAAAAAGAATATTTAAAAATGGAATAAAGAGGAGAGCAAGGAAATGTGAGCAAAACTAGAAAAGAAAAACGGATGAGAAAGAAACTTCATGACATTACCCAAGACATGCAGTCATAAATTGCCAACACAGAGTATGTACTCCCACCAGGGCAGTTCAAATACACCTGACATGTTACAGGACAAAGTCACAATCTGTAAAAGAAACGGACTTCGACATATTAACTTAGCCAAGGCAAATCAATTGCAAGAGGGGCGAGGGTAGAGAGCAACATAAAAGTATAAGCACACCAGAATATCCGCATTCTCATCAACAGTAGCCAAAGTAACAAGTTGGGATATGACTCGTTGAGCCACCAATGAGTTGACTGGCTGCCCAATGAAGATTATGCGATTCCTGAACAATACAGATGAGAGGTCCAAAGGTCCGCCAGGGGTCATCACAGATGGAAGTATGGGTGGATTCCCTTTTCTGGCTTCTATTGCACCATAACTAAAAATACAAATCAAAAGATTCACAAATTTATAACCCAACAGAATAATGGACATCATAGAACATATTAGCCATAAATACAATTAAAGATTCTTGACCTAAGTAATAGAACATACACTAATTTTCTGATTGTATTTTTAATGAGTTTTAAAATTATCATTGCCCAGCTAAAATGCTTTACTCTCTATCCAGTTTTCATCAATCATTCATCAGTGAACCAATATGTGCATTTGTTTTCAAGAGTTTTACATAATTTCCGACCTACTCAAAAGAATTGAAAAGAAACTTGAAAAAACAATGAAAAGTAGATGAAACCCATTAAGCAAAAGGGCACGAGCTATACACCTTGTGCTAGTGTCACCAAAATCCTTCACGTCAAGCTTTAGAGGTGACCCACAAGTTCTACTAGATAATCCTGAACACAGCAATACGTTTACAATTAATTACTCTGCAAAAATTGTAGTGGGCAAAAATAATTTATTAACTCTGAATTATTAGCACAGATATATAGCCATAGATATGTAATTACATACGCACAAGCACACACACATATTTGTGAACTGAAATTAAACTGGTTCAGGAGAAATAAGCAGAGAAGGACAGCTGGGTATACATGAAATTGTAATTTGGGAAGAGAAATTTAGTAGTTCTAAGAATATCTAATTAAAGATTAATTAGTAAAATGGGAAAGAAAAAAAAAGGGTTACCAGTTGTTAACGAATCTCCGTACGGACTCTGCAAGGCAGAGACTGTGGACTTCGACGATGGGTTTCTGCATAACACCAGAAAAATTAATGAACAAATAATAAGCAATTATGTGTGTGTATATATATATATACCCGAAATTTAAAAATTGGTTGTATGAGTTTGTGTTGTGTGGTTTGTACCTGAGAGAAAACAAATGAAGAGAAGAGGTTCTGTGGCAAGAAGCGAATGAGAAGCTCAGTGGCGCTGAGAAAGCTGATGCTACCACCATTTCTCGTAGCTAGCGAGAGAGAGAGAGAGAGAGAGAGAGAGAGAGAGGGCTTAGGAGAGTGGGAGCGAGCGAGAGTTGGGAACAAAAATCCTCTCTTGCGGGCTCTTATTTGCGTGCAATAAATGCGGAAAGAAAATTAAACCGTTAGATCTATATGGATGGTTGAGATTAAAACTTGGGTTAAAAAGGTTACATGTGGAATCGGGTAAAAGAAAACACAAATGGTGATTTTATTTGAACCCACAATTTGCTCTTTTGAACCAACACTAATTTTAAATATAAATAACCTATTTTATCTTTGTACATAATTATTGTTAATGACAAAATATTTAAAACAAAAATTAAATTGCTCACTACTCCCTACATATGTTCTTACCCACTAGCGTACCCAGAAAGGTGTAATTTTCAAAGGCTAAAAGCTCAACAAACAAAAAAATATTGATAACTAAATATCCTTATAGTTTAAACAATACTAATGCTATTCATAATTAATTGAAAAAAATAACATTACAATTAATACAATTGTTGCCGATTGGGATTGATATCAAGAAAACGTTGATTACTTTCCCCTATAAGTGTTTCGGGCATGTCATTTTGGCTTTTAGGCTAACAAGGACCCCTTTGTAGATAGGCTTTTTGAATTTGTTTTCAAAAATTTGGATTATAATAAGTCATTGAAGGTCTAAGTCGATGGTCTGCAGGAAGATTAGCCAATATTTGAAGGAGGATTTGAACTAGCCAGATTATTTGAAAGAGGGTTGGAACTAGCCATATTATTTGAAGGAGGATTTGACCTACCCGAATTATTTGAAGGAAGATTTAAACTTTTTCTATACCGTTCCATAACTAAATAATTAAAACAAAATAAGGGTTTTTATTCTATAACTATGACTTATTGACTATAGTTTATCAATTAAATAAACAAATCAATATCAAATTATCAATTAAATAAATAAATAAAATTAATTATACCTCGAATTGTGTGTCGCACAATCTCTTCCTCCTTGAGTTTGCTACTCATCTTCCTAATACAAAGAGAGCTAAATAAGAAAAAAAAATATTTAAAAAAAATGATAAACAAAATTGGCATTTAAGAAGAAAAAAATATGCATCCGACTTACTTTGGACACATTAAATAAGGAATTATGGAGGCCCTATTAAAAGCCCAAGAAATGGCATCAGGTTTCCTTTTTTTTTCATTTTTTTTTCTTTACAACTTGGTCCAAAACAACGTCGTTTTGGCCAGGATTAAAAAAAAAAGCGCGTGTTTTAAAAGCCTAGTCCAAAATGGCGTCGTTTTGGCCAGGCTTTTAAAAAGAAGCGAGATGCGTGCAATGCACAAAAGCGCCCAAAAACACAAAGTTCTCTTAGGCATTTCGACAAACACCTACAATGCAACTCCAAGGTTGAGTAGAGGTGCAATATGCAGCACATCTTATGGCTTTTCCAACAAGGGGAGGTGCAGCTGCACCTCCTTGCGCCTTAATAGGTCCGCCACTGGTTCCTGCAACCCTAGTCAGAGTTATTTATCAAGTCATTATGTTCCTACAACCCTAACAAGGTTTATTCGTTTATATTAGTGAAAACATACCCAGTATTTATTCATGAAGGGTTAGACTAAAGTTAGGGAGACTTCGAATGAGGTATGAGTTAATTTGTTTTGGCTTTTTTTTGGGTGTTGAGTTGCATGGTGGTCGCTACTTACGTTCGGCAGACTAGTACCTAACGCGATAGGAAAATTCAGTGGCCTTCCATTGAAAAATTGTACCTATTTCGATTGTATGGGACTGAAAACTTAGGATACGGTGGAGTTCCACCGTAAAATGGGAATGGGTTCGGTATCATATGACTGAACTGTACCTATTATTCAGTGGTGAAACACCAAAGTATATTTGGTTTTTCAATAACTTGTTGTCGACCTTAAATTTAATGTAAGCTATTTTGACTTTACTCTTATTGTCGACCCTTACTCCTATTGAATGAACAAAAACAAGGTAACGATGCTACTAAAGGAAGCAATGTTGGAACATAATGTGTAATGGACTATAGTGATCAATTCACAACTTACGAGGTAATCATTTTGAGTATCTTCTTTTTGTTTGAAATCCTTTTTAGCATCGTTAACATGGCAGAAATGTTTCAAATTTTAACTTAAAATAACATTATTGTTATGTGTATATATTCAAAAGTAGAGATGCATTAATTAGATGAGCTTGTGCACAAGGAAAGATGAATAATATCGTAATTACAATTAGGTCTTATTTGACATTGTCAACAAACAAAGAGCAACCTAAGAGATATAACAAATATACTCTCACCAAAGACATGTTGCGATCTTTTGAATCTATGTCTGAACATCGGAGAATCGTGTCTGTAACCATGGCAAACTTACATAATCATCATTGTATTTGTGCAATTGTTTAGTAGCCTCTTTATCAGTCACTCCTATGTAATTAACTAGCAACTCATAATTTGTGTCTTTATCATCTTCAAGTAGAGAGATCGCTACACCAGACACAGGAATACCTAAAACATATGACAAATCATCCAATGTGATGGTCTTCTCACGAAAAGGCAAGTGAAAGGAGTTCATTTCAGGATGTCACCTCTCAACGAAGGCAGATACAACAATCTTATAGACATTTTGATAGAAACACATAACAAGTTGCTTTAAGCCAGATCTTTGAATGTACCATTTGAATATGACATTATTAGGTTTAGCCAACCAATTTCACTCACAAAGGGTATATGTCTTCGACATACACTTAAGGGGCTCATATGTCTTCGACATACACTTAAGGGGCTCCCGTTCCTGTAGTCAAATCCAAAAAAAAAAAAAAGTTAATTAGCATGAACCATACATATATTGTGTCTTCTTATGTTACAGTAAAACGACTTACCTAGTTATTCCAAATTGTAGCTGCTATGTGAGTTTTGAAACTCGTAAGTAAATAAGGATCAATGGGACCTACTCGAGATGGCTTAGTAGGCTCGACATCTGCCTCAACATTAGTATCATGAGTAGTATCCTCGGAATGGTCTGGGGGACCATGTTGGGCTGGTCCTTTGAGGGGCTAACCTCATCTCTCTATGTCTCCTCGCTGAGATTGTGAGACCATGTATATCAAGTCGAGATGATGTAGCCTCAGTAGTACTTCTACGAGTCCTCTTCATATCTTAAAAACAATATTAAATACAAAGTCAGTAACGAATTGGGTAGACTACTACTGAAAAATTAAAACTTATTAGGTAGACTACTATTGAAAAACAGAAACGAATTCGGTAAACTACCATTTAAAAACTTAAACTAATTCAGTGGAAACCCACAGAAAGTTATGGCTATTTTCATAAGACCATGTTCGAACTTATACAACCACTAGAATCCTACCAAACTAAGGAGGGTGTATTCACTTGAGATTTTAATAAATTGTAATTACATTATTTTAATGTGATGGATTTTAACAGGATTTTAATTCACTTAAGACTTTTTTGTATTCCCCAAAAGAATTAAAAGATTTGCTATATGATTTCATATGAAGCAAAATTATGTAACATGGATTCCATAAGAATGAAACACCAGCTAGCCTGCTACGAAACACAAGCATTAGTAAAATGTACAAACCAGTATAAATACAATGCTAAAAAATGACCCAAATTAGTATGGAGTCTGCCTCCAATGTTTATATAGGATAGGTTGTTTGACTTTCTTTTGTGCAATTATATTTTGTTTTACTCTACAATTGCACATAGTTATCCTATATCCCGAATATAATACTGGTTTTGTTTGTTTAGATATAAAGGATAGAAAATAAACGAAAAAAACCTAATTATAGATATTGGAGATGGGATCAACTAACTCATCCTGCAATGCACCTCTTATGTAGATATTTCAAGATAACCCATCAACATCATCCATAATTTCTTTGCTTGCCCTTGTAAATTCATACTCTTTTTTTTAAAGGTTTTTTTCTTAGTGCAGACTTTGTTTTCTTTAGTGGTTTTATTTATGGGTTTCTATGAAGTCTAGACAACCGTCATCATCCTCAATCAATCCCCTAATGCTAAGTTCCACCTCCAGCTCATCATCATTTCAAACATGCATCCTGCTCGTCTCTCTTCTTTTTCTTCTGCCATATCTTGAACAAGAACACACATAAGCATAATAAACATCTGTCACATCCAACAATCAATCTCCTTTTGAAGAAGAAGAGGGGTGATGTCATCTTCTCCCAAAAGAGAAACTGAACAAATGTTAGAATCATGCATATGATGGTGGGATTTTTATGGGGTTCAGTATTTATATCACCCACTCAAAAGTCCCACACAATATACCATTTAATGAAATACCTCAAAATCGGTAAGCTTTTGAATACCGTTGTACTTTTTCTAATCTTTTAAAAATCCTAATGGAATACCACCGGACTTGTATTGATTACTTATAAATTCTAATTGAATACCACCCGACTTTTAGTGATTACTTAAAAATCATAATTGAATACCGATGGACTTTTAAACTTCAAAACAATCAATTAAAATTCCAATTGGATACACCCCTAAAACCACACCACAGTACAAAAGATAAAAATGGAGACATTAAGTTAATCGAATCTGGGAAGTGCAGGGGGGTGTATTCAATTGTGATTTTAAGTACATCTCCAACCGATATGTCAAATTGCCACATGGACATGAAATGACAAAAATTGAAGGTTAAAATTGCTCCAACTGAATATTCAAATCCTACATGAATTTGAAGGCTGTAAGGGATATGTCAAAAATAACATAAAAAAAATCTTGATGTCAAATATTATTTTAATATTTTTTTAGTCATGGATCCCACTATCATTTACTCTCTTTTAAAACATTGTGCATCATATGAGCCCCATTTGTGTCAAAATAATAATAAAATAATATAATATTTTGCATTTCTGGTGGAGTCAATTTTTTTTCGAAGTGTCAAATTGCCAAATAAGACATCAAATTCAAATTTAATATTTTGCATGCTCTTAGTCTCATATATGGATGTTGGGTTTTATTTTGATCTCAAGAAGAAAACAACCTTTTCTTCCCTAATAAAAGTTTTGAGAAAAA